AGCATAGTTCACAAAATTGCATAAAGCTTGTCACTTAGGCATTTAATCGAACACATTGTGTACATTGTGAAATTCTCTTAACTTTGGCATTAATACTCTATCATGTAGCTCCCAAATTCACATATCAATCACAAACATAGCACTTAATCTTCACCAATTACTAAAAATTAAGACAAGCCAAATCCTCAAATTCAAAATTTGTAAGGAATGGCATAGGGCACTTACCTTGAAATCTTGTATAGAATTGGAAGGTTGAAAATCTCTACTCACTCCATTGCATAGATGTTTAGTCTATGTGGCCGCATAGACTAACTGTCAATATTATTTTTTTAAACTAATGATTATGAAAATGAACCACATACCTTATTCCCAAAAACATGGCTCAAATCACATTTTCCCAAATTCTTTGATTTTCAATTGGTAAATTTGATCTGACATCTTCTATGCCTGAAAAGTTTTGAAAATATATTACGCAATGTGGGATATGTGCCGGCCTATGGACTTAGTACTAAAACCAATTTTTGAATTGAATTCAAACCACTCTAGACAATTTTATGAAAAATGACTGTGTGTCTCGAAATGCATGAGTGTCACACCCAATCACCCAACAACAACTTCAACAATTTTAACTCGTGCTTAATGCCTAGGGACTCATGTAGATAGTGCTTAGCCTCGTTTGACATGCATAGATCATCGATGGCCTACTAACTAAAAATGGATACTGTGAAATTGAAAAATTCCTAAGCTAATGTAGAAAACAAAATAAAATAAACTAAAAGGATACAGTGGGTTACCTCCCACTCAGCGCTAATTTATAGTCAATAGCTCGACTTTCCCACTTCTACTTCAATTAGGCATTTCGAGTTGAACGGTGGACTTTTGCTTGGAGGAGTCCCCACCCTAGTAGTATTTCAACCTTTGTCCATTAACTATGAATGTTCTTTTTGTTTCATGGTTGACCTGTATAGCTCCATATGGTATAACATTAGTGACAGTGTAAGGGCCCGACCACCTTGATCTTAATTTTCCATGGAAAAGTTTGAGCCTCGAGTCATATAACATGACTTTCTGCTTTACTTCGAACTCTCGCCTCTAAATATGTAGATCATGCCACTTTTTAGTGCGTTATTTGATAAACTTTGAGTTTTCATATGCTTCCATTCTGAATTCATCTAACTCATTGAGCTGCAATAAACACTTTTTCACCGACGGCCTTCAAATCCATGTTCAATTATTTTATAGCCCAGTATGCCTGGTGTTCTATTTTTAGTGGGAGGTGGCACGCTTTTTCCAAAAACCAGGTAGAATGGAGACTTGCCTATTGATGTCTTGAATGTTGTCCTATATGCCCACAATGCATCGTCCAACTTTTTAGACCAGTCTTTTCGGGAGGAATTCACTATGACCTCTAATATTCTCTTCAGCTGTTGATTGGACACTTCGACTTGCCTGTAGGTTTGTGGATGATATGGGGTTGCTACATGGTGTTTAACCCCATGTTTACTTAATAATTGCTCGAATTAGCAATTGCAAAAGTGTTTGCGCCCGTCACTGATTATTGCCCATGGTGTGCTATATCTGGTAAAGATGTATTTCTTCAAAAATCCAATTACCACTTTCGCATCGTTTGTTGGCAATGCAACTGCTTCCACCCATTTTGATACATAATCAACTGCGACCAGGATATATTGATTTGTAGATGATGGGGAAAACGATCCCATAAAGTCGATTTCTCATACGTCAAATATCTCGACTTCCAATATACTGTTTAGTGGCATTTCATTTCTTTTTTAGATGTTCCCAGTGCGTTGACATCTATCACATCTCTTAACAAACTCAAAGGCATCTCTGAACAATGTAGGCCAATAGAATCTTGACTGTAAGATCTTAGCGGCACCTTTGAAGCTCCTAGGTGCCCCGTATAGGCAGATTAATGACAATGCTCAAGAATTTCAGGTACTTCATCTTCAGGTATACACTTCCTCGCAATTTGATCAGCCCTCGCCTATAAAGAATAGGATCTTTCCAAAAATAATATTTCAGTTCGGTAAAGAACTTCTTCTACTGGTGACTTGAGTAATCTGGCGGTGGGATTGACTTAACCAAATAATTGACGATATCTGCATACCATAGTTCTTCTTCTACATTGAACATCTACTCATCTGGAAAAACTTCGTTGATTTCCACTGACAATTCTAGTTCTTCTTGTTCTAATCTCGATAGATGATTTGCCACCACATTTTCACTGCACTTCTTGTCCCTAATTTCAATGTCGAATTCTTACAACAGTAATACCCAATGGATTAATCTCGGCTTAGCATCCTTCTTTGTCATTAGATACTTCAATGCAGCATGATCTGTGTAGACTATGACCTTAGACCCCACGAGATATGATTTGAATTTGTCAAAGGCATAGACCACAGCCAAGAGCTCCTTCTCAGTAGTTGCGTAGTTGATCTAGGCATCATTCAATGTTCGGCTTGCATAATAAATCACATGGAAGATCTTGTTCTTTCCCTGTCCCAATACTGCACCTAAGGCATGATCACTGGCATCACACATTAATTCAAAAGACAACTCCCAATCAAGTCTATAATTACCAGCGCTAACGTGAGTTTCTCCTTCAAAGTGTTGAAAGCTATCAGACATTCCTCATTAAATTCAAAGGGCACGTCTTGCTGAGGGGCTTGATGATTCTTGAAAAATCCTTTTATGAATCTCCTGTAGAATACAACATGTCCCAAGAAGCTGTGAATCCCTTTAATTGATGTTGGTGGCGGTAGCATTGCAAAGGTCAAAAGGCATCCTACGGTATGCGAAAGTACCGTAAGAGCATGTGTATGTAGTTTACTCTTGATCGTCTGGTGTCACTGGTATCTAATTGTAACCTGAATATCTGTCGAGGAAGTAGTAATATGAGTGGCCTGCCAATCTCTCCAGCATTTGGTCTATAAACGGAAGCAAAAAGTGATCTTTCCTTGTTGCTGCATTAAGTTTGCGATAATCGATGCAAACCCTCCATCCTATAACTGTTCTGGTCGGTATCCGCTCATTCTTCTCATTGGACACTACCGTTATTCCTCCTTCCTTTGGCTTCATCGATCTGGGCTAGTCCATACACTATCTGATATTGGATAGATGATTCCAACATCTAGAAGTTTGAGTACCTCTGCGCTAACCACTTTCTTCATATTTGGGTTCAATTTTCATTGACTTTCTATGGTTGGCCGAAAATTCTCTTCTATGAGAATCTTATGCATGCACAGTGAAGGGTTAATCCCTTCGATATCGACTATGGTCCATCAAATTGCTGTCTTATTCTCCCTGAGTACTTTAAACAGTTTATCCTCTTCTACTTTGCTGACTGTGTTCAGGATGATCACTGGAAGTGTACAGGACTCCCCCAAGTATGCATATCTGAGATGAGGTGGTAGCTGCTTGAGTTCTAATTTTGGCGGCTGCTGAATGGATGGTAGTGGTTTTTTGGGTCATATCCCAAGCTCTTCAAAATGTCTTTTGCATGTGTACGGTGGGTTAGTGTCCAAAAATCTTGCACATGTTTCCATCTCCACTAAATCGAATTGCATTAACTGCGAATGTGCAATGTAAGCTTCATACGCATCTGATGGGTTATATAGCAAGAACGAGTCTTTAACCACCTTGTCAATCACATCGATCTGGAAACAGCTATCTATCTCTGTAGGTAGTTTCATTGCCTTGAAGACATTAAATTAAATCTGCTCTTCTCCCAGTCTCAAAATCAACTGCCCATTCTTAACGTCGATTAAGGCTCTTCTTGTTGCCAAAAATGGTCTGCCCAGTATCAATGGAATGTCTTTGTCCTCTTCCATGTCCAAGATTAGGAAATCTACAGGGAATATGAATTTTTCAACCTTGATAAGCATGTCCTTTATTATACCCCTGGGATGCGTCAATGACCGCTGTAGTAGCCTTAGCCTCTCCCAAGCCAAGTTTCCTGAAAACAGATAAAGGTATTAAGTTAATACTTTCACCAAGATCACAAAAAGCTTTATCAAAATAAACTTCACCAATCGTGCAAGGAACAGTAAAACTCCCTGGATCTTTCAATTTTGGTGGGAGCTTTTTCTGAATTCTGGCGTTACATTCCTCTGTTAGCATTACTGTCTCGTGGTCTCCTAGCTTGCGTTTATTTGATAGTATATCCTTCAGAAAATTTGCATAGCTAGGCATCTGGAATAGTGTATCGACGAGTGGGATGTTGATATGGAGTTTCTTGAAAACTTCGAGAAATTTCTTGTATTGTTGCTCTAACTTCTACTTCTTTAGCCTTTTTGAAAACGATATGGGAGGCGCATAAGGGTTAATGGTTGTTTTACCCTGTGTTTTGCTTAGTTTTTCAACTGGGGTAGATTCCTCCATCTGCTCATCATGCTCTATTGGTTCTTCTATCATTGGACATTTTGTTTCTTGATGTACACCTGACTTTTTACATGGATTTTTGGTAGTTGCTTTCCACTTCGAGTTGTAATTACCTTAGCATGCTCCTTCGGGTTTATCTTCGTGTTACTCAGTAAGCTGCCTGGTGCTCTGCCAGTCAAAGCAACTACCATCTATCTCATTTGAGTCTCTAAATTTTTTATTATTGCATTCTGGTCTTGAAGATTGGCTTCGATTTTCCTCATGAATTGATTGTTAGCTTCCATATACTGATTAGTCTTCTCCATGAATTTATCAAACATCTCTTCCAATTTAGGCTTTTTCTCTGGCCGCTAATATTGATCCTGCAGTTTATTCTGGTTTTGATTGCTCCAATAGAAGTTTGGGTGCTTTTTCCAACTCGAATTGTATGTTTTCCCATACGTGTTATTTTGCTACCACTGTCCCCATTGAGCAAAATCTACTTGCTCTACTCCTTATACCAAGATTGGACATTCTACTGTTATATATTCGGCTCCACATTCTTCACAACTAGCCTTCTTCGACTATGCTACGGTAGCTGATTGTGTCATATTCTCTACCTAGTGAAATAATGAATCAATCTTTGCTGACAAGGCGAAATAAACGTCCACTTCATAAACTCCCAAAGTCTTCCTCTGAACTGCTCGTTCCGATGTCCACATAGCTGAAGTCGTAGCCAAGTCTCGAAGAGTTTCAGTACCTCATCAATTGTCTTTGTGGATAGTGATCCGTTTGATAACGAGTCAATCATGCTTTTGAATGTTGGGTTATTGGACATGAAGTCCCTTACTAATTCCATGGTGCGGACACTTTCGCAGCATATTCTTGAACCTATTCCAGGCTTCATCGAAATTCTCCGATTCGCCTTGGCGAAAAATAGACATGTTGTGCTTGAGCTTCACAATCTTAGTAGGTGGGAAAAACTTAGTACAGAATTTCTGGGCTAAAACATTCCATATAGTGATGCTTGCGATTGGTTGCGAATCTAGCCATTCAATTGCCTTGTCGCGCAGTGTATATGGGAACAACCTTAATCTTATTGTATCGTCTGAGATTCCTTGATATCTAAAGTTTTGGCACATTTCCAGAAAATGAGAAAGATGATTATGTGGATTCTCTTCAGTCCTTCCATAGAATTGATGGCCATTTTGAAATAATTGTATCACATTAGTCTTCAGTTGGAAGTTCGACTGTCCAAACGGTAGATACACGATACTTGACTGGCTTTGAATTATCTGAGGGGTCATGAAATCTCCTACAAGCATAATTCCTTCATCCGCTACCCCTTCTTCATTGGCCTAAAAAATTGGATTATTCTGCACGTTAGCCATTTGTTGTTGCGCCTCTCTATTTTCTCGCTGCCTTCGATGTAAAGTTCATTCAATTTCTGGATTAGCTGGGATCAATTCTCCTTCAACGGACCTTAACATACAAATCTGCGAGAAAAGTCAAAATGAGTGCTTAGATGTTAGAATGAAATATTAAACAGAACAAATCAAAATGAAATTAAACAAAATGAAATAAAACACAACAAAATAACAGAAAATGTAAATATGGATGTTCGAATTAGTGCCAATATAAATAAAATTAAACGAATATTCAATCCCCAACAACGACGCCAAAAACTTGTTCACGAAATATTTCTTTCGACTTAAAATTACTGCAAGTGTACGATTCGTTAACAAGTATTAAAGTGGAATATTAAGTTCCGAGTATCATCCCACAGAGATTGAGTAGTTCAATTCTAACTATTGTAATCTTAACCGAAACAAATTTATCAAAACAGGAATTTATTCTTAGAAAAACCCTAATTTAGTAAAACTCTAATTTATGAAACCCTAATTATGCAAACGTGATAATTTGAATGAACTCAGTATGTAAAATGATATTTTAATGAATTAAAATGCAAATTATATGTTTAGAACGCAAATTGATTGTATTCAATGAAAATTAAAAGCAGTAGGATCACGAATTCCCATGCAATGATTAATCTTAACCCTAATTTCACAAAATGACAAGACGATTGAATTATTGATGAATCAATGCTCCTAATTTTATTCAACACACTCTCTCTCGAGATATATTTAACCTATTTTTATACACCACTGGCCTATATCTCTATGACAAATGCATATATAAGAATGCATGTGGTTTTATGAACATCTAAATATTCACGCAAAGCATAGGGGTATATTTCTATCCCCTATCGGACCCTACGACGATTTATACCTTCTCAAATTTATTTCTCTTCTCTCAAACAGATGAAATAAATCACCAAACATCACATAATTACGTGCACTTAATTATAGAAGAAAATTATTGTATATAAATCATTCAAATATTCAAATACGTGTTTATTGTCAAATTGCAAACTAGAAATTAAAGAAATCACATCATATGGTACATCGATCTCCTAGTACATGAAAACCTAGCCTATCATGGAGAAAATTATAGAATACATGATAAATTGAAGAAAAAGCATCATCGGGTTATGAATTTGCTTGAAATCTTGATGATCTTCGTGTAAATCCGTGTTACTTTGACTCCAAATCCTCTCCAAGATACGCTTTCTTGCCTCCCAATATGTTTTGCGCCGAAATATGACTGCTCTAGGTTTTTATATCGCGCCCCAATCGAATTCCAAAACAGTTATATCAAAAATAGGAAACTGCAGGATCGGTCCCTGATTTATGCCTATGCGACCGCATAGGCTTAACCTATGCGGATGCATAGGTTCTCCATCTTCCAAACGTTGATTTTGGTCCTTAAACTTTATTTTCCACATTCTTGACCTCATTTCTTCCTTCTTTTCGTTCCCTCTATCAATGTTAACCTCCAATTGGTACTTGGCTCGATTAAATCTTTGATTGCTCCTTTGGTTCATCTTTTGGATATTTGCATGTTAGTCCCTGAACTTCATTTTGGTTCGTTTCGGTCATTTTTGCTTCTTTTTCTCCTAAATTCTGTCATTCAATCACTATTCCCTACAATCCAACAATTAAACGAATTTAAGCCACATTTTAAATATTTTTCTCGTGATTTAGTCATGTTTGTGCATTAAATAAGTGCACAAAAATGCACTTATATATATATATATATGAGAGAGAGACATTATGTTGAGTATCAAATTATGCTAAACCTATTTTGAATCCTCCAAAAACAAAATGCTTATTATCTAAATGGTAATCAAACATTCAAATAATCAATATAAATGAAATCAATTACGTTTACATCATCCAATATTTTAAGTATTAAATCTAGCATGCAATACAAAAACAACAAATGTATTAATTCTTCATCACCCAAAACAAATAGTCACAAAGAGATAAAAGGAATTAATTTCGTGTTCCTTAAATTCCTTCAATTGAGTATTCAATTAATTTTAGATTTTCTTTTGCTTTGGATCTTCAATTTCAAGTCACAAATCTTCAATCTTTTGATGTTTGTTGCATTTTTTCTCTTACTAAACTTCTTTCTCACATTCTAATCTCTAGAATCATGAATTTTTAGCTCACAAATGTAGATTAAAACCGTGGCAAAATTTCTTTCTAAAACTGGTTAGAAACAAAATCTTTTGAAGAATTTGTACAATACGACGGCACGGTGTTCTTGGTTGCGTTCGCATGGTAACTTCAAATAGCTTACTACAAATTCAGTTCTTTCCCTTGTGACCACATTGCAGCATTCACTTTTATGTCCATTTGCAAGTTGGTCCTTGTTTTCAATTCCTTATGCGACTCAGGTTCTTTTTAAATGCAATTGCAGCCCTTTATCTCCAATTCAAAGTCACTTTGGTACAATCTTCTAGATTGTGCATTGAGCAAGTCCTTTATGCCTGATTTACATTTCTTTCCTCCAAAAGCTTGTCAAACATTGAGTTTTACCTAAACAAACAATGTTTACGCAAAATTAAGCAATAATCTTCTAGAAGTACTCCCAAATATCAACTTTTAACGACCTAAATAAGTTTTGAAATGACGCCTATTAGGTTCATCAGATTCAAGAATTACATCTAGAGAAATCTATAATAACATTGTCCTATAATTATACGACAGGTGCCAAAATGTACTGTATAGTACATGTGAAGAACAATTGAAGAATCCTTCAAAACTTGCATCTGTAATTAGATTAGAAATATATCAGTACAATTAACAGACTACAACGGATAACTGCCCTCTACAAGTTGAATTTTGGGATCCACTATGCTTAGCAAAATGAAATGCAGTGTGGAAAATAGTTTGATAAGTAATATGGTCATAAGCTAAGTTTGAGCTAGAGCACCTTTGAAGAGTATAAAAAGTAGCAACAAAGGACCATTTGGGAAGAGAAAGAACAAAATGCTATTTTTGACTGAAAACCAAATCTACCCAAATCAGGGCATCAGCCCACAATTTAAAGTGTGAAATTCATACAATGCTATGACTTTTTTCGCACAAGTTGATTTGTTTAGTCCTAGTGTGTTGAGTTGGAATAGAACTAAGTGCAACAGGGTTGAGATTTTTGCACCAAATCGATGAAATACTGATTTTCAAGATTCAAATTTCATGCAATAATCTAAGCAGCCAATGCATTTCTATTTTTTGTATTGGCTTAGTTGTGATATCCAATTCAGTGATACTCAAGGATAAAGTACGTTTCTTTTCAGAGCTTCATATGAAGAAATTTCCTTCAAGAAAAATACAAAACCCTAATGTAGACTAATAATCATCAAGAGGGGTACTTTTAAAATTGACCCAATCAAACCATCAAAATTCCACATTGACTTTCTAACAATTGAGTATTATCACAATGGCGTCTTGAACTTTAAAAGACAAAGGTGTCCTTAAGTATATTATACACTTGCAAAATGTTATTTTGTTTAAAAGACATTACTACCATTTTAATTAACAATTGAAAATCAAACACTTCCCATTTAAAATTTCAAAATCAGTTAATTTTTCTTATCTGTTTATTTCAATACAAATAAATACTCTCTCATCTTTCATCTACTTCAACCTTAAAGTCTTAAAAATTTATCGAAAGCTCAAAAATTTTTTTATATCAATCACTTCGAATCGGTAAGCATATTACGCATGTTTAATTTCATTTTTATTAAATTAGTGTGCATTTTAATTGTTTAATTTATTTTGACATAGATTAGTTAATGTAGATAATTTTTTTAAACATTAACAAGAAAAATTCATCTGCATTTTTTAGATGAAATAGATCTTTTCATAGCCAGACGACTGTTTAAACAGCTGCCCAGTTGTTAAGCAATCGACAAACAGAACCGGATGTTTAAACAATCAATTGTTTACAGTCAATTGTTTGTCGGATGTTCGTAAATTTTTTTTTTATTTTGATAAATTTAATTGCCACTAATTTTTTTCTTATTATTAAAAATTCTATTTTGTCATACAGATATGATTGTTGTCCCGATTTATTATTTTGGTGATTTCGAATTAAATAAAAAATATCAATGGGTAAGGAAAGGGACGAGTAATGTACGTGGTGATATCCCGATTTCCATAACATCAAGTATATCATATGCAGAAATATAAAATGATTTACAAAACAAGTTAAATGTCGATCTCTCTCAGTACGTTATGAAACTGAGATTTAAATTTAGCGAACATACATCCATTTCGATTCCATTTATGAGGATTGCTTCTGATGCCAAAGTGAATTATATATTTGAATTGAACAGAATACACACAACTCCTCTTTGAGTAGCTTTAGTGAGGAAGGATGTCGTCGAAGGTGAATAAAATGATTCGGATGGAGGGGATCACAATGCTAATGATTTTTGGAATACAATAGAGATAGCTCGTGAGAATGATGTGGTTATTCCAGAGACAGTTGTTCTTGATCGTGATCTCACTATTATGCACAAAATTTCTTCCCTAGTTCACAACAACGAGAATGAAAATGAATTTACAAATCAGGATTTGATTGCTTTATCTTGCCTAAGACATGAGCAGAGTGGGACCTGAGAGACTGGATCAAGTGGACCGTCCTCTAACTCTTCGTGTGTGGTCTCTGATGATGATGATTTGTATGTTGAGCAATTTGAAACAAAAAAAGATTTGTATGAAGCTGTGCACCTAATTGCATTGAAAATACAATTTTGAGTTTAAAGTGAAAAAATCAAATAAGTCATTATTGATGATTGTCTACGTCGATGACAGTTGCCGTTGGCATTTGCGAGTAATGAAGATGGACACGAATGAGTGTTTTGTAGTTCATTAGTATACACGGGAACATACTTGTGAAGTGAAAATTCGTCGAAATGATCACAGACACGCCCGAGCTTGGTTTATTCGTCGACAGATAATGGATAAATATCTGGACCCACAGACGATACACAAACCTTCGGACACCATTAGCAATGTACGTCGACAGTAGGGTGTGGTCATGAGCCACTAGAAAGCCTGAAAGGCCAAAGAATACACATGAGAGGATTTAATGGGCTTAGCAGAGGGAGCTATACTAAATTGGCCAGGTATAATATGGGGAGAACTAATCATGGCTCGACATTTTTTTTTTTTTTTAGACAGAAGGAGAGAGTTACTTCAAAAAAAAATTTCATAACTCTTGGAAAATGCATTTTGGGATTTCGAAATGTAATGCGACCTGTAATTCTAGTCTATAGTACAACTTTAAAAGCTAGATACCAAGGCATGTTAATTACTGCTACATGTCAAGGCGCCTAAATTTAAATTTACCCTCTTACATTCGGTATAGTTGATAGCTAGAATAATCAATTGATGCTTTAGTTCATTATAAAGTTGAGAAAAGTGATCGAGGAAGTCGAGGATCTCACCTTTGTAACTGATCGGGGATAATCTATGATAAATGGTATCGCTGAAATTTTTCTCAAGGCATATCATGGGTATTGTATGTACCATATACAAGAAAATCTAAAGACTAGGTATTGAGGCAAAGACATCGTTTCATTGTTCAGGAGAACGGCTGAAACTTACAGTGTTGAGGAGTGTAATAAGTTCATGATCAAAATGACCAGTAAATCAATCCCGACATGGGATTATCTAACAAAAAGGGGGATCGAACATTGGGCGCAATCACATTTTTCAAGACATAGATACAACATGAAGACGTTGAACAACGTGGAGTCTCTTAATGCATTGTTCAAAAAGGATCGAGAGTTGCTAATTCTCGTAATGATTGAGAACATTCGTAACAAGCTGTAATAGTGATTTCATGATCGACATACGGAATCACAGAGTTGAACGAGCGTGCTAATTCCGGCTCAAGAGGATAAACTCTTCAAATCTGCAGAAATTATGAGAAAGTTGAATGTGGAACCATTGGATGAGTTACACTTCTTCGTGAAATATGCATGTAACATGACATACATGATGGACTTGACTAATAACACATGTACTTGCAGTCGGTTTCAGTTTGAGAGTTTTTCATGTGAACATACAGTTGCGGTGACTATGTATCGAAACTTTGCAGGAAGAACGTTATGTAAATAAATAGTTATTTAATTTATTTATTTCAATTGCTAATTTTATTTGTTTTATTAATAATTACTTATCTGAAATTTTTAATGATTATTTTAATTGTTTATGTGTATTATTTGTTTAATATTTAATTTTAATTGTTTAATTAACATTTGATTTACTTGTTTATTTAAATATTTCATTAATTATTTTAGTTGGTTATGTATATTATTTATTTAATGTTTCATTACTTTATTTAATTATTTATTTTAATTACTTATTTTCAAAATATTACAATTATCTCATAATTTAAAAAAAAATCAACTTAAAATATTTACATAAATTTGACAATATTTACAATTACCTCATAATTACAAAAAAAATAATATTTACGAATCACAATTAATTTTGTATAAACCTCATGCTAACTTATTCCTCCAAATTTGCATCTACGATTGGTTGATTCCATCAACTTTATGTTTGATACTAAAAAATTCAATGTATTTTATGGCGAACATGCCGCAATTGCCTTGTAATTGAACAATAATTGCTAGCTCGGTACCGTGTAGCTAAAAACTAATTTATAATTTTTTAAAAAAAAAATTACAATATTAGACAATAGCAAACGTTTTTCCTTGAGTTTTGCATCTAGAAGAAGTAAAATTACGTTGTTAGTCAAAGCAATACGATCCCCAAATTGGACACTTTGAAGTTATTCAACTTCGTATTTGTATCTAATTGACCATAGGAACACTATTAGACAAGACAATGAAGTCTGCTCCTACGGTCTACCTAATGTCTGAAGGCTAATGGTGTCCATCATATGTGCTTTGTACTGACACAGCGAAAAGAACTATTATCGAGTATCAAAACAGTCTTTTTAAGATTTTTTCATAGCGCCATTCACACTTTCTTTTTCTCGGTTAGATAGTCTACAAAAAGTTACAGCCTATGTTTGAACCACATTCTAGGCCAAAAAAAAAAATGTATTATTCATGTCAAGTCAATAAAAAATATGTAGTTAAAAAATAAAGAAAAATTTTAAATTTGCGTGTATATTATTTTATTGAAGAATGTGATTGAAATGATATCAAATTACTGTTGAAAAATGTATTTTTATGAAAATAATGTGGCTCAAACAAGATTAAAATTGACATAACTTATTTAATCTATTGTTCTCTTTTAATCAACAAGAAATGTGAACATGCAGAATAATAGATTGAAAATAACATTTTCCCACTAATTTCCAGGCAGTTTCGTCTCATATTCATTTGAGAAAGGGAACTTATTTGTTTGTAATGCAGTCAAATTGGTGCATTCACACTTTATTTTTGTCTATGCTAGATAGTCTACAAAAAGTGATAGTAAAATTCACATTTGTTGAAAATGAGGATTCTTGCTAAGCATTCATGACTGAATGGTTAAAGTGTTCAACTCACAATTGGCGAATTTGTAGGTTCAATTTCCATTGAATACACACCAATCAACACACAGTATCTAACAATTCAAGTAGAAAATTATATAACATAATCCGCAAAATTAAAGTAATTATATTCACAATATATTTTTTATTTGTTACATTACATTTTAATTTTATTTAAGATCCCCATTTTTTACTTCTTGTAATTATTATGTCCTTAACTTTATTTTTGACACATTTTTATTTTCAATATTTTATTAATTAGCACGTCTCACATTGTAAAATGGTTTCTGTCAAACAAGTCCTTTAGGAAGCATAAAATATCTAATTTTTCAATCACATTAAAAAATGTGACAAAACATTTTCCCCTCATTTTAACCCCAAAAAATTGAATAAAAAAATTGAAACCATCGTCAAAGACAAAGATTTGCTAATTAATAAAATGTTGAACATAAAAAATTCACAAAAAAAGAAGTATAGACAAAAGTTTTACGATGAATAAAGATTTATGACCTTAGGTGAAATTAAAATGTGATGCTACTAATAAAAATTATAGTATGCATATACTTCCTCGCAAAATTAGCATTTTTCTTGGTTTCAACAAGCAGAGGCCCCACAAACATTGTCTCTCTCATTTTGGACATGACTTTACTTTTAATTACTAATACCCCATAGACATTTCAACTCAACTTTCCACTGTACGTGAATTGGACAGGTTATGTCCAAATTAAAGTAGAATACAAGATTAGCAGCCGGGTAATCAGCATTTGAGATTATTTGGGATATTTTTTTATAATACGTGCTATACCACAAAATAACATGGCAGTAGAATGTAGCTAAGCTTAAAAAGGTTATTTTTTATTTTTTTATTTTTATCAAACATGATCAAATAAACCCGTCTAAAAGATTAAATTGTCTCAGCACATACAGTATGAAAAATTACTTAAAACTTGGTTTTAGGTTTCCAGACATTTGTTGATCTCCAACTTGGCCAAGTTAAAATGGGCTTCCATCTTGGGACTGATGGCTAGACAGAAATACTAACACTTCCTCACTGTACATCAGAACAGGCAACTCACAGAAGACTCACTGCATACTAAGCAGTAAATCATATTTGTCACAGTAGGAAAACATCTTCTTGAATTGAAATTTGAAACGATTAAGCAACGAGAAATTCATCGTTTCTTATTCATACCGGAAATATTGCCAGTTGATATGCCATTGCCATTGCCATTGCCAAGTCCACAACCCGAAGACTCCTTTTGTCCAGCATTCTGATTCCCCAAACATTGTAGATTGTCGAATTCACAATCATTGATGAATTGATTGTTCAATAATGCGCCCTCTGATCCCGGTTGAAGACAATAAAGCTCATCATTACATTGAATATTGCAAGGATTCGTCACATAAGCACCTTGAAGATTTGTATTAACAGGTTTCTGGTAAGGGAAAGATCCAATCTCGCCCTCGATTCTTCCTCTAATGTCAACAAGCAAGCACTTGAGTCGAGCAATCTCTGCCTCCAGTACAGCTTGGCCCTGCACCCTCTTGATTAACTGTGAATTCAAAGCTCTCAATCGAACAACTTCATCCTCCAACGATGCAGTCCTTGCCTTCTTCTTCTCCCGGTATTTGCGTACAGCTTCACGATTACCCAAAGGCCGTTTCTTTCCTTTCTTCTCTGTGGATTCAGCCGTATCATCAGTTGGGGTCTGATCATCACTCTGGGTTGGCATAATCTTCGTGTGGACATGATAACAAGTGTGCGTGTGGGAATTATCGGGGCCCGAAGTGTTACACGTGTGGGCATGAGTGCAGGCTTGTGTCTTGTTGAGAAACTCTTCAATGCCGTCCATTGAGCAACTGCTCGGAAGATCAATCAAATCCGAACACGAATACAAGGGTTGATTCGACAATTCAAGCTCCCCATCGTCCATTTCAAACTAATTAAATTAAACCAATAACGTTATGAATTTATAGTGTAATAGCAATCAGAAATAACTTCTACAGCAAACCAAATCAAAATTCGCAATCTAATCTCATTCAGAAGCCGCAATTCTTCCCTATGACGGTAATTTAGCCAATAAAAATAAAAAATAAAAATACGGAGATAAACCAATTAGCAAAAATTTGATGGCGAAACAATTGTAAATTGATCAAAACTTGCAAGAAACAGGAACAACAGGCCACGATACCATTTTAAGCTTTCCCCTCTCTGTTGTTCTGGTTCAAGGAGAAACGGCGAAACCCGAAAATAGCTAGATGGAGAATATAATTAAAGTAAAACAACTAACCCTAATTTTTTATATATAATCACAGAGAAGAGCAAAATAGATGATAGCATTAATAATAATAATAATAATAATAATAATAATAATAATAATAATACCCACCTTAAAGTAATTGATCCAATCCAGCCACAGAATTTACTATCAAGATTGAATCTTGCAAACACAAAATGAAGATGCAGTGGAGGGGCAATTGATTCTAATCAGAGAATGGAAACCCTAGAAAATGTTATAAGGGATTGGAAAATGCATTATACATGCGACATTTAATGGAGGAAATAAAAGGGCAAACAGGGGACAACGAATGAGAGTCGAGCAGATACAGATGAAAGAAAGGGTCCCTATGCCGAAAACTAGAATATTATTCATCAAAATGTAAATGTAACAAAACCGAAAGAATTTAATAATACAATTCATTCCATACATCGTGGGACCGTCACTCAAATCATGATTCTTTTGAAAATTTTGAGTAAAACATTTTATGCAAATATGATAAAATCGCTCACTCATATTACGATATTTCATATCCTAAATTACTCAAACCATGACACATGTTTATTGATTTTGTCCATGCACTCAATTTCTCTCTTAAAAGAGTCTGCGACGAAAGTGTCGTGATTTGAATAGATAATTTTATCACCTGCATATAGGATAATTCCACTAAGTATTTTTCTATTCACCAGTCTAGAGATGACAGCGGACAATAAATCAAGATCCCGCTGACATCTAAAGTGATAATGTGTCATCCAAAGAGGTGATGATCACAATTAATGGAGAATACCATTGTTCATAAGGATTCAAGGGGTTGATATTGAAATGTAGTGAATTATTGATAGGGGAGAGGCGAAGGCATAGTTTATTAACGTCATTGTAGCATGATAAAAATATTTGTTCAACTTGATACATGCTTTAACGATCTAGTTTTTATATTCAAGCCGTTAACTTATGGAATATCCACTTTGGAAAAGTTTTAGTTCATCTTTTCCTCTCATGACTTTTTATCGTGTCCCTAAAATTCGAACCTATGATTCAATTTAAATCTCTCGTAAGGAAATGGCATAGGATAGAAAGTCATGAGGTATATGTTGCGTTTAAACTCTTCGAATGTTGATAGTGTGTAAGTTAACAATTTGGTATAGAGACTGGTTTGTTACAAAAAAAACGTGCATTTTTTTATAATGACTCAATCTATATGCTCAAATCTTTGACTTACGTATTGTTCGCTTTGGGAGAGTCTAAGTCAATCTCACCTCTCACGAATTTTTATCGCGTACCCAGGAATCGAACCCTTAACATTTCTTTTAAGAGTAACATAAATTGAATTATGGTATCACAAGCGACTTGGCAGTTATGTCCAAACCGCTAATTTATGTAATAGTTGCCAAAGGATAGCTTGAGCCCATCTTAACCTTGACGGATTTTTTCGTGTCCCCAAGATTCTTATTTAAGTGAAAGGTTATGAGTTCGAATCATATGGATGCCACATAATTCGTGAAGGGTAAGATGAGTTTAATCTCTCCTAGAACGAACAGTACGTAATTTAATAATTTGAGCACAGAAACTAAGTCGTTACGCTCGTAGGCCCCGTCCCAAATAGGATGAGGATTAATCGCTTAATCGATTAAATGAGGTGAGGGTAGGGTAATGGTTATTGCCTCGAAGCGGGTACGGAAAACATGATCCCCACCTAGCTACCGCTCCACTTCAAATTCAAATTCAAATTCAAATTTTTTATCAAATAAAAAAAGTTATCGTTATTTATAAAGAGAACGTGGGTTGTTTTATAACAAATTGAAACAAAAAAAAAAAAAAAAAAAATTCACTAATTAAGGATATAAAATAATTAAGAAAAAAAAAATGAACCAGACAAATAACAAGCAAAGCCACGTCCATACCTTCCGCGCCCCAAACCCAAGTATGGTGGTGGGACAATATGACAAAAATATCTGACCAGAAGGAGGACAGGAATGATCGATACGTCTTATGCTCGAATTGTTGCCATCCCTACCTTGAGCTCATTAACACAAATTTAAATTTTTATATGAAATCGATATATTTTCAATAATTTATAGCAAATCATATGATGCTGCCTTGAATGGGAATCGTTTATTTGCAAGGAAAAAAAGAATTGAAATTGCGTTACAATAATAATTGTGGGAACGCGAGAGGTTTGATTTGGTATTAATTCATTGATTCATATAATTACGGATTTCACTTTAATGGAAAATTTGCACTTTTCATCCCTAACTTTTGTGAAATGTAATAAATTCACTTTCAAGTTTATTTTTTATTTTTTAGAATAATTCGTCTTTAACATTTCAATAACGTAACAAAATTCGTTATTTCCTCCATTTTGGCCAAATAATGCTCTTAAAAAATAAAAATAAATATAAATATAAAAGGAAGTATAAAAAAATTATTTTGTAAATGGGGTTACATAACTTTTCAAAAGTACAAATAAATTACACTTAAAATAATTAAATACATATTAACACGTAAAATTCTTGTTTATTGTGGCTTCAATTTTTATAAAACTTTAAATAAAAGCCAAAAATCAATTTTAACCATACAATTCATAGGACCACAACTTTTCACCATATATTTCGGCCTTATTTGAGTCTCATTATTTTCTCATTAAAATGAAAAATATGATCGTTATCCATCATATCAAATCACCATATTTGACTTTTTATCTGCTGTGTAAAGTCCATAACAGCTATATTTTTCATTCTCGTTTTTACAATAATGTAGGTCAAATGAGGGCTTCATTCATTTTCTTCTTTTATGTTTATTTATTAAAAATCTGATTTTAATCTTCACCAAACAGTGACAAAAAGAATAAAAAATGAAGATTATAAAATTTTCATGGATTATTCTACTTCAACATAATGGACACCATTGAACCCCAAGTATCACTCAATTTTCATCTTCCCCAAGTAAGCTCAACCATCCAGCCCGCCAGTTAACTCGTCCATCCTACTAATCCTAATTCACCTCATCAAACATCACGTCCACAAGTCATCACGTCCACCCACTACCTTATAAAAATTTAATTAAAAATAGTTATTTCAACTAGCATGACAAATGACATGAAAATTGATAATTAAATATCTATGGTCTTCCTAGGACAATGATATTTTTGATTAGGTACGCACACGTTAACGCGTAGACGACATATATGTTCCATCTCTTTGGTGGCCGTTATCCTAGGACCTCTATCTATAACGTAAAATTTTCTTTATTTTATTTATTTATTTATTTATTTTTGATACCCAGGTAAAATTTTCTTTATTGTCCGGCAAAGGGAAAACTACTATATTTAACCCTCATTTGGTACCAATTTTTTTCCCCAAAAAATTAATTTTTTTATCGTTATTTCACTATTTCAGTCGTCATTTTAATTTCTTCACTTACATGGGGAACCCACTTTTCTTTATAGTGGTCAAAAAATAATTCTCATAATCACTATTGAACAGACTATTAGTAAGAATTAAAATTTAAGTTTATGTTTGGTGGGGATTAAAATTAAATTTTGAATAGATTAGATTTTGATTTAAAAAAAAAAAATTTGAAATGTGTGGTTGAACAGTTGTGGGAACTCATGAAAGGTGTGACTTATATTAATTGGTGGACTTTGACTTAGATTAAAATTTGATTTAAATCAATACCAAGCGTGGGCTAAACTTTAATTTAAGTTAACATCATATTTCATTAGATTTATAACTTTTCAACTGTACATTTCATCATTCTGATCAAAAGTTACTAAAAAACTGATTTTAATCCTTACTAAACAATAATAGGTTAAAACATTTCTTGCTGAGCAATTAACCACACTACCCAGTTCCAATACACATGTTTTGAAAACTAAGAGAGCCTCATATTCTAAACAAATATTTTGTTTTTAAAATATATTTTTTATCATACATCTTCCAATAAAATAATTTTTCACGTAAATTTAAAATTTTTCATATTTTTTAACCACATTTTCTACAAAAAGATAACTATTATAAAATTTCTTTTTCACCAAAATGCAACTCGAGGCTACATGCTAGCCCAGTAGTAAATACAGTGCCTATTTATCCTATTTGTATCTAAGCTGTGACGTCAAGCGAAGAATTTGAGAACTTATTTGGTACAGCTTAAAAATCGATTAAAATCAATTTTTTGACCGTTATTTCATTATTCCAGTCGTCATTTTTGAATTTTTCTCTTACAGGTAGGACTCATTTTACATCTAACGGTCAAAAAATCAATTATTAAATCCCTACCAAACAAGCACTGAGACTTAAAAGCCAGAACTTAAAGGGTGAAACCACCTAAAACAATGATTTCAAAAGTCTAAGGGCTTGTTTGGGAGCGATTTTTTCATCCAAAAAATTGATTTTTTGATCGTTATTTCACTATTCCAGTCGTCATATTTGACTTCTTCTCTCACAGGTGAATCCCACTTTTCTTCTAACGGTCAAAAAATCAATTCTCAAAATTACTCCCAAACAGGCTCTAAGTCTCTGACCCGCGTTCTTTCCCAAAAAATACATTTTTAAACAATTATTTGACATTATTTCATTATACATTCTTTAATATAATATTATTATATTTATATTCAAAATTTTTTTTATTTTTACATCACATATTTTTTATCAATACATTATTCAAAAATACATTCCGACTCATGGGCATACGCGCATCAAGAAGAGCCAAGATGTCTCTTTGTACATGGATGACAAAACCGCCTAAAGCAGCTTATAATTTTAAGATAATCAGACAGTTTTGCAAGAATTATATAACGCAAGACACGCATAGGATTGGCCTGATATTTTTTATGCTTAGTCAAACTTTAAAAGATAAGTTCTCAAATTGAAGTGGATATTTAAAATTTTATCTTCATAACAATTTTTAAAAACTAAATCTATAAATCCATATCCCAATAATATAATGACAAATAAATGTAATATTAAAATATTTCTATTCTAATATATTTTTAATATTAAAATATTTCTATTCTAATATATTTTTATGTTTTGAAAGATGAATTAGATAGTATTAAGTTTGTTAAAACCATATTAAGTAATATTTATAGCTTTACATATAGTGTCTTTATTGTGTAAATAGAGATGCAATATCTTAAATATGTTGTAACTTAAGTTTTAATAAGTTTTAAGTTTCAAAATTAAAAGTAATTTTAATTTTCAGTTTTCAATTTACATTTTAATACAAATTTGCAACTCATAATTCAGATTGTAACTTATACTGATTTATTTTTATGAACATGGAGTTTGAATTTTTCCTATAAAAGGAAATGATTTTCATGGGTTTAACAATAACATGAAAAG